TTTTTAAAGATTTTATTATTTATTTGAGACAGAGAGAATGAGAGACAGAGAGCATGAGAGGGAGGAGGGTCAGAGGGAGAAGCAGACTCCCTGCCGAGCAGGGAGCCCGATGCGGGACTCGATCCAGGGACTCCAGGATCATGACCTGAGCCGAAGGCAGTCGCTTAACCGACTGAGCCACCCAGGCGCCCCTTCTTTCTTTTTTTTTTTTAATTTTATTTTATTATGTTATGTTAGTCACCATACATTACATAATTAGTTTTTGATGTAGTGTTCCACGATTCATTGTTTGCGTATAACACCCAGTGCTCCATTCAATACGTGCCCTCCTTAATACCCATCACCGGGCTAACCCATCCCCCCACCCCCTCCCCTCTAAAACCCTGTTTGTTTCTCAGAGTCCATAGTCTCTCATGGTTCGTCTCCCCCTCTGATCTCTCCCCCTTCATTTTTCCCTTCCTACTATCTTTTTTTTTTTTTAAATATATAATGATTATTTGTTTCAGAGGTACACATCTGTGATTCATCAGTCTTACACAATTCACAGTGCTCACCGTAGCACATACCCTCCCCAGTGTCCATCACCCAGCCACCCCATCCCTCCCACCCCCACCACTCCAGCAATCCTCAGTTTGTTTCCTGAGATTAAGAATTCCTCATATCAGTGAGATCATATGATACTTGTCTTTCTCTGATTGACTTATTTCGCTTAGTTGCTTTATTTTTTCTTTCTTTTTTTTTTTTTTTAGGAAGAGAGGATCTTTTTTCCACAATTAAAAAAATCACACTTTTATTTGCATTTATTTTATGCTGAATTTATTCCTAGGCTATAAGTTTTTGTTTCTTCATTTTCTTCTGGGATATCTTTTTTTTTTTTAAATCCTGTACAATCTCCTCTTCTTTTAGAAACAATTTTTTCTTTTTCAGTAAGGATCATCTCAATGTGGCAATGGGAGCTCATGTATGGGTTAATCTGACTGTGAGCTCTATAAATCTGGCTGTATATGTCTGGGGGCTTTTGTTTACGTGGATGTGCTCTATGACCAGATAATCTACATCTAAACCCTTTTGTTCAGCATTACTGCCTGCATTTTTAATCATGTGCAACAAAAATTCAGCATTCTTTTTGGGCCATTGACTCTGTGTCCAGCTCTATTCTTTGGCCTGGGCATACTTACCAATTGCACCATTGTAACTATGGGATGGCATCCATTGCTTCTATAAAGTGACATCTTTCAGATACTTAGTGGCTTTTCCCATATGCATACCCTGAGTGGTTTCACTAGTGTTCTTAAAGTGAACATGAAAATTTGAACCTCTTGATTTGCATGATGTTGTTAGATTTTCTGGGTCAAGTGAATAGTGAACCATTTTTAGAGATTACCTCAGGCTGCTTACAGGAGGAGCCTTTTTTCCCCTCCGTATTTTATTCTGAACTATTCGTACATGGTTATATCAGTCAGGCTTTATTGAGGAACCAGAAACCATAGTAGATATGTTAAACAGAAGGGTTTACTATATAAAGTTAACTTTTTCATAAAAAGATTAGGAAGTTTGAAAGATCTACTTCTAGGCTGAAACTTTTCAAAGGGATCATATACAACTGGTATACCAGGGAAGCTAAAACCTTTGAGGCTACCATTGGAAACTGGAGAGTGGACAGTGGAATGTTGTTCCAGAGCAGCTTCCAGCTAGCAGATCTTGATTGCTAACAGAACAGTTAAGGACACTGGAGTATGGCTCCTATCTCATTCCACTTTCTAAATCTCTGTGCAAGTACATCTAATTGGATGAACATAACTGCAAGGGGGTCTGTAAATGTAGTTTTTCTTTCCACTTCTGCACATAGAAGGAGAGGGAGCTGGAGGTTGGGAGTCAATCCGCAGTAACTGCCAGATTGTCTTGATTCCATTTAAGAAGTCTTTTTCTGGTATATCATGTGTAATGGGATACTCTTTTATCTTTTTCCTGCTGGCTGGTGTAAGTAATTAGAAAGGCTGAAAATCTCAGGAATCTTTCCAGTCACTGGTACTATGACTTTCTGCGACCATTGGCTTTGAGTGCTGTGTTGGACTAGTTGGCTTGTGAATGTGGGAGCATAAATCCATGTAGAAAGAAGTGTAATTGTTGCTCTTGTGCTAGGCTGTTACAATTTAGGATTAATTCCTCCTCTTATTTCTCTTCTTTCTCCTTCATGTCCTTTACTTTTATATTGCTTTCATTATATTCCTTCCCCAGATTAAGGAAGTTTTCAGATATGATTTCCTCAAATAAATTTCCTACCCCTTTTTTTCTCTCTTCATCTTCTGGGACTTCTATAATATGAATGTTACTACGTTTGATGGGGTCACTGAGTTCCCTACGTCTATTCTTGTATTCCATAATTCCTCTTTCTCTCTTCTATTCAGCTCCATTATTTTCCATTATTTTGTCTTCTATATCACTTATTCATTCCTCTGCTTCTTCCATCCTTGTGTTCATTGCATTCAGTCTCTTTGGAATCTCAGTTATTTCATTTTTCATTTCTGACTGATTGTTTTTTAACTCTTTTATCTCTGTGGTAAGGGTTTCCCTGAAGTCTTCCACACTTTTCTCAAGCCCAGTGAGCATCCTTATGATTGTTGTTTAAAGCCTCCATGAGCCATATTACTTGTATCTGTTTCAGTTAGATCTCTGGCCATGACCTTATCTTGTTGTTTCATTTGGGATGAATTCCTCCATGTTGGCATTTTGTCTAAGTCTCTGTCTTCTTCTTTGTGTTAGAAAGTCCTATTATGTTTCCTGCTCCTGGGAATAATGGCCTTATGAAGAAGAGGTCATATAGTGCTTTCATTATATTCAAATCTATGATGAAAAAGAGCTGACCTCAGTAATAACATTTAAGAAATGAGTTTAGAAAATTCTTCCAGAATTTACTTCTTGTGTGCCTTTCATCACTTAATCTTTTTACTTTTAAGGTTATGCTGGAGAAATGAAAGTAATCTTACATTTTACTAATCCAGGGTAAGAAAGAGGTACTGAATAATTATGTGTTGTATTGGGATTAATTTGGGAGCTAGTCTTTTGGCTTTTGGTTTGTTCTTATAATCACTAGCATCATAATTGGAGAGTGGAATGAAGTACAGTAGTCAAAAAAGATACTATTATAGTTATTTTTTTTAACCATGGAGCATTTAGAAAATATATGGCGTGATTTCTCAAACTATGCATTGTAATACTTTAGTCTTTTGTGTAGACATTGATGAAAAATAGCAACAAAGTATCTATATATAGGAATATCTATATTTACAAATAAATAAAAGGTGCCTCTCAAATTTTTGCCTGTTTAAAGTGAATTACATTCTTTTATTAGTTGAAAAGCAAATTAATTTCCTTTTCAGTTTTCTTCCATAGTAAGGGCCATGTGGCATTATATTACAATAGGGAAATAAAGCACCTTGTGTAAGGACCATGACTCTGAAGTTAAAGGTTCTCCTTAGTCCTCAACAAGCATCATAACTGATCTAAAGCAAGTTAAATGTTGTAGTAAGAGATAGGGTTTCCAGGGAAGAAGTAACAGGGGTTAGTATTAAGACTATTAAGTTTTTACATTCTTTACTCCCCATGGGAGGGATGGGGACCTAGCTCTGAAGATTTTTAACAACTATACACATAGCACCAAAAATGCTTCATTTATAGTAAATATTGTAAATACATTTACAGAAAGAACATTTCTGTCCTGTTCACCTGCAGTTTTTCCATTGCAGATGGGTTAGGTATTTGTTTTGAATTTAATAAAGGGGAAATAAAAAGTTTATTTTTTATTTTGTGGAGAGTTTTCTTGGATCCAGAGTTTAGCCTTGGGCAAGCAGGATATGAGTTTGGTTTTACACTGAACAGAATCTTGGTATTATCTCTTAATTATTCTTCCATTATTTGTAAAGAGCAGGTCTGGAGTGGCAGCTTCAGGCTCCCATGTGGGGAAGGTAATAGATGTGTGTGTCTGTGGACTATGGCTCATTATGGAGGCATCTATTGGAATCATCTATGGAAAGCCCTGGGACACTCTGGAGAAACAGCTCTCCGTAGGAGAACTCTCCCACATTCTCTTTGCCTTGTATTCCAGCCTCGAATGAGCAAATCCATGTCTGCCTGAGCAGTTGTCCGACGTTGCAGCTTCACACAGCTGGGGTTTGTCCTCCCATCTCTTTTACCTTCTCCTATTCCTTTTTTTCCTGCTTTTATCTTTACCCATGGCTTGTTCTTCTCTTTTCATTTTGTCATCTGTTATTCATATTTAATTTACCCATAGGACTTTCCCCTTTTTCACCCCAAAGCATTTTCTTTTTCTTTAAGGATTTCTGGTTGATTCTATGCCTTGGGAATGGAAGACACCATTTAGAGGTGAGGGTGACCCCTACATTGGCCCAGTTGTTATCAGACGTCTTTATAAATTGTGCCCAGTCATAGGTATCACTTTCTGAAATGCCTTCGGTAAGAGATTAAAATTACAGTAAAACATGATGGAAGTGAAATGATACATGTGCATACAGATGTCAAAGCTATTTCAAATAATCTTATTGGAGACTCTTTCAGTGACTACCTTTAAAATGTAGTGATAACTTTTAAAACTGAGGATTTAAAATGTCTTTAGGGACTATCTTAAGAGCAAGTGTTATTGGGTAGGTATGAGAGGAGGCTGTCTTGGAAATAAATTGGTTTGTCACTCAGGATTTTTCCCCCTATTCTCAGTGACCTACTTGTCTTCAGTGATATCATTTAAAGAATAGACAAACAAGGGCCTTTGGCCTTTATGGTAATGTGTGTGAACCCCTTTGAAGTCCAAGGGTGGAAAAGAGGGGATACATAGAAATACTAATAGTGTCCTTCTATTGAGGGATCTTTCTGGAAGTATTACAGCAAACAAATGTATTTTGCAAGTTTTAAAATTATTTTATTATTTTAATATTTTTTTGATCCTTATTTTCTGTTTAACTATATTTAACTTTGTTGCCCCTCAGGAAGTTTTTGACATGAAGTCTGAAGGACAGGCAACTGTAATTCAGCAGCTGGAACAGACCATTGAGGATCTGAGGACCAAAATAGCTGAGCTGGAGAAGCAGTATCCTGCCCTGGATGTGGAGGTGGCCAGTGGCCGTCATGGGGCTCACAATGGAGTGGCACCGTTAGAAGGTGTCTGTCTTGAAGCTCTCAGGTTAGGAGAAAAGGATGTACATCATCAAAGGATTTTACAGGCAAAGTCAATCCAGACGTCCCCGACGGAAGAGGGTGGGATACCGACACTTCCTTCTGTTAATGCACTACCAGAGTGTCCTCCCTGCCCATCTGGGCCCGAAAGTGGAGACTCAGCTATGCTCTCCTCACCTTCTGGACCTCAGACAAAATTCTGCTCAGAGATTTCTTTGATTGTGTCTCCAAGGCGAATATCAGTACAGCTCGACACACATCAGCCCACTTTGCCTCCAGCACCTCCATCCCTTCCGAGGTCTGACAGTCAAAGACAGGCCGGGTCACAACCTTCCCATCCTTCTCTTCATACTGAGTCTGAAACCAGCCATCAATACTCTGTTTTCTCTTCCTCTGACAACAGCCATAGCATCCAACCCTTCCCACCTCTACCTTGCACAGAGTCTTCCAGCTCCATGCCTGGTGTGGGCATGGTGGTCCCCCCACCTCCTCCTCTCCCTGGCACAGCAGGGCCTGCTCTGCCCAGTACAGCCATCCCCCCACCTCCTCCTCTGCCTGGTACAGAAATGCTACCCCCCCCTCCTCCACCTTTGCCTGGTGAGGGAATACCTCCTCCCCCTCCCTTGCCAGGTGAGGGAATACCTCCTCCCCCCCCTCTTCCTGGAGTGGAAATACCTCCTCCCCCTCCCCTGCCAGGTGAAGGAATACCTCCTCCCCC